ACAAACTGAATTTAAGTTGTAGGAACCAATTTAGAAGCAATAGAAATTGCTGGAACGATTGACAATACGAAAGTAGAAGACGTAAGAAATTACAAGGAATTATCTAAAATCATCAGATATCATTATAAATTCTTAATAAGCGCTGGAAATCCCCTTAATGTGGCTAAACCTAAATCTCTGCTTTCCCTTGATTTTTATTAACTTTTTTAGCATCGATGGCCTATTGATCTATGATAATTCCGAGTGATTTCAATTAATTTTTAATAATTTCTTGTTGTTTTCTTTAATTGCTTAAGATTTCCAATTATATCTATCAATTTTAAATCAAGAGGCAAAAGTTGATTTCCATTGGTAGGGTAGAAATCGCTAGGCAGCATAAAAAATCAGTCAAAGTCAAGAAATAATTTTTTTCGACTTTAAAACCGATACTTGTAGTATTTATCAAATACTATGGGTGTGAGAAGTTAGTGACTAGCGTACCTCGTCACTTAAATAGAAGTAGTGCAATATGAGAGTGGCCTCTTTCGTTTAAATAATCAGTGTCCATTTTAGAGGAACTCTAATGGATAAAGAATTATGAAATTACAGTATAATACATATGACCAGTTTATTTTATGTTTATTTGTTTATAGGACGTATTGTGCTTGTACACATCTAGTTTACTTTTGTTTTGTTGAACTAATCTGTGCATAGATTTGTTCATAATTATAGTGGTTTTTGTAAACAATTAACAAAATATGGATGGTTTTGCTGGAAGTTCAAGTAAGTATTAAAGTTTTATGTACTCATCTAATGTTTTGCCACTTTTATTTTTTGTTGATATTGTAGCTAATAATAATACAAGAAATGATGTTACTATGAATGACGTTGATGTTAATACATTAGCAAGTGCAATTGTAATGGCAATGAGAATGAACGACGGAAATCAATTACAACCACATGAACATACTGTTAAAGATATTGCAAGTGCTGTCATAATGGCTCTTAATAGCACAGCTAAAACAACAACGAACACACTAGGAACAGTTTCACATATACCATTACGGGAAACAAGTAGCATGGCATTAACAGACGATAGCATTATTTTTAATAGTATTATTTCACCACCTTTGTCGCCCGTTCTTCAACAATCTTCAGTACAACATAAAATGAAACACACAACTGATAATGTCTACATTGTACCATTACAAGCATCACAGAATCAGGTAAAATTGTTTGCTTCACCAAAAGGACCAAACAACGACAGTGGAACACCAGTGGGTGCATTAGTAACTAGCTCAATACCAACCTTAGAATGGTCATTTACAAGCAAAGTAAAAGATTTACTAATTATTAATAATCATACTTTTAAATGTAATAAAACAACAAAACTAAAATGTATTGGCGTTGTGATGAAGTTGAAAATTGCAGCAATTGGGTACAAACAACGTTAGATGGTGTTTACATTAATATGAACAAATCCGAACATCACCATTTTTGTGATCCTGATCGTATTATTATAAAAAAAAGTGATTGGTTTGATTCGTGAACGATGTAAACAAGAATTAATTTCGTTGTCAAATATCTATGAACAAGAAGTTAAAAAAGCCAAACTTACCGAAGCACAATTATGCAGAATGCCAAGATATGATCAACTGCGCAAGTTGTTCTTATTGATTTTTGTGGGCTTAATATCTTTAAAAGGAGGCAGTTTCTAACTCACTTAGTTATCAAGCTACTCATTACAAAAAGCAGGTACACAACTGTATAATTGTTTTGGTCGTTTAGAATCGTCTTTGAGTCACCTACGTCTATCATTACTACCACCACTACCATCTGGTTTACAATTTGTTGTCCCGAACAACTATATGGTGAATATAGATGGTCAACGATTTTTATTACAAGATTTATCTAATCAAAAACGATTTAAACGTTTATTGATTTTTGCAAGTGATCGCCAGTTGGACTTCTTATTTCAAAGTGAATGGTTATTCATTGATGGCACATTTTAAGTAGCACCATCGATTTTCACACAGTTAATTTGTATAGTTGGGTTATTTGAAGGCCAAGGTGAGATCATATTATTGATATTTGAATATCAGTATGACTTCATTACTAAAGCACTTTTTCTTTTATTGTTGCAGCTATTACTTTGTGCTATGCATTACTCGATGGGAAACACACCGATGGTTACCGAGCTATCATTCGTACTTTAAAAGATGAAGCTAAAAGATGTGGAACTGTTTTGGCGCCACATTTCGTGATGACTGATTTTGAAGGCGGTCTGATAAAGGCCGTTGCAGCCGAAATAAGTTCTTGTTTTAGTTTTATGTTTTTGTTGTGCAATAGAGGAGCATTCTTGTACTGTTATAATTATAGTTTCCAGCTGCTACACGTCATGTTGGTTGCTATTTTCATTATTGCCAATGTATATATAGAATGATATCAAGCCTTGGTTTGAAAACAGCATATGAAACATTGGATAATGTACGTGACTTATGTATGAAGTTAATGGCGATTGCTCTTATGCCAATGGATGACATCGAAGATGCATTCTTGGAAGTATCAAAAGAAATAACACAAGTACAATTTACTGATACACGTGTTTCGAATTTAATCCACGATTTGATGAATTATTATGATAAAGAATGGATTTCTATCATAGGAAAAGAAATGTATTGCGTTCACAATCTCGATTGGCGCACAAACAATATATGCGAAGGTATGTATGCATATGACTCTAAGCTAAGCGTGTCACTAAGTTAAATAACTTAAGTGAACAAATATTTGAAATTATTCTATGATATAGTTTTCTAACTGCCACAGTTTTGTAATAGGTCAAAACTTGACGCAAAACCACCATCGATAAATTAAGCAGATAAACATTGTATGTTTCATTTAGGAATGAACAGTCGTATTAGTCATAAATTGACACAAGCTCATCCAAACATATGGAAAGTCATGGAACTTTTAATATGTGAAGAATTTCATACATATCAAATAATAAATCAAGTTACAACTGGTAGGAAACGGCCATCACGAGCCACAAAAGAACAGAAACGTTATCAACAACAGTTAAATTGTCTCTATAATTTATATGAAAAGCACGCCATTAATTTATTTGATATGTTGAAATGACTGGCCAGTATGGTTGCACATAATACTAAAGCCAACCAAAAAAAGAAAAACTAGGTGTGGTGTGAGCTTTCTTAGTACAGGGCAAAGCATTATTGACATATTTTTGTCAGTGTTAATAAGTTTTTTTATTTATATATTTAGGTATATGTGTGTTCTTGCTACTCTATTTTTTCGATTATTACTTGTACATGAATAAACTTACATTCATTTTGATTCTAGTTTTTATTTGTAACTCGTTGGGCATAAGTTAGCAACTTCGTTGACTGAGAAATAAAAAAATTATTTTACAATAAAAATCAAGGCAGTTCCTAACTTGATCAAGGCAGTTAGTAACTTGATTTAGTTTAAAACTTGACTAAGGTAGTCCCTAACTTGACTTTCAAGGCAGTTACTAACAGGGGTATGACAGTTCAGTTTTAGTTCAGTTCAAAAGAACTGTTCAGACAGTTCACAGGATCTGAACTAAGATCTGAGAACTGTTACACCGCTATTTACTAACTTGAAAGTCAAGTTAGGGACTACCTCAGTCAAGTTTTAAACTAAATCAAGTTAGGAACTGAATCAAGTTAAAAATCAAGTGAAGGAATGAAATGTGTTAGCTATTGAGTATTCTTATTTAAAGATTATGTTTCTGTTTACTATTATAGATAACGCGTTCCACGTATTCTTTTCATCATCGTGGATCTTACTGAAATCGAAACGATAAACAACAGTATTTAAGAATGGCTTTTACTGTAAAAATAAGAAATAAAAATTATGCATCATTTGGTAAGTGAACGGATACGCCTAAGTGCCCATGTTCATAATTGTGCCGTTTACTGTCATTTCTAGAATCATTATGTGAAGCTGGTTTGGAAGCCATTAAGTATTATAAAGGACGTATATATATCCAACAGTAGCAAAAAATCTGGATACTATTATAAGAGAATGGTTTTGCAGTGTGCATTGCCGTCCAAATGAAAAAGTTTATTATAGAACGACAAGAGAAGTTGGTATTCGTACTTATTTTGTTGAACGTGTTAATGTAGGGAAGCTAGTACTGAAGGTACGTATACAATCAACAGATATGAAACAATCAAAAAATACTGGTATATGAGTAGTATTAAAGACTTAATTCAGAGTAAATTGTGTGGTTTTATAATAACGTTTTTTTTTCACTTATTTAGGTACATTTGAAGTTTTGTCATCGTACGATGAAATTCATAAAATTCTTAATGACTCGTTGGAAACATTTCGAGTTAATGGTAAGCCCTTGGAAGCTGCTGGGTATTATCGAAAATTGTCGGAGTATTTTGATATCGGACGTGATCGATTAATTTATGTATTAAAATGGATTAATGAAACTATTGAAGTTGATCGTACTGTATCAAATACTTATGATGTTAATGGTGACCATCATCCGTGCAAAGAGTTGAATAATGACAATGTTGATCAAGAGTAAGTTGATAAAACTGTTTGTCTAATGTATTTAATTAGTTAATAAGTTGTGTAGAATGAAAAACATTCCGGGGTCGTTTTTATTTTTCCTTTGTCTACATTTATAGGAATCACACAGATGATGATAATGATGAAAACGATTGTGATAAAACTAGTGAGGAAGACAGCTGCGCCGATGATTTTAATCAAAATGCACGAAAGTTTACTGTTGCAGAAGAATCAACATTATCACAGATTCCAGTATCAATACTGAAGGCAAAATGCACACAATTTCCACGAAAACGAGCAAATTCAGAATCAATGGATCGTTCGCCATTATCACAACCGAAAAGGCTAAATCGTACGTTGGAAAATTTAACAATTTGGAATAATAAGGCTGCTGCCTTCAAAACAATGCCACCATTAGATAGAAAACAAAGACGTGTTGGTTTACAACGAAATCAATAAGAATAAAAAATAACATTCATATTTTTCGATAAAAAGGTTTTTTCTTGTTATTTTTTTCTTGTTTATTTTTCCTCTATGTCTTTATGTTCACTGATAGAAAAGGAAAATTCGTCTTTTGAAACTAGTCATAGTACCTGTCTTCTCGTTTGTTGTTTCAAATTTGAAATAGAGAATGAAAAAAAAATTCTTTTTGAATCATATAAATCAATCACCAACAGACTCAACAAAATAGAACTAATATGTCCTACTTATTTTAAACACATTTGTGAGCCCAACCAGGAATTGTCTAAGTCCATAGACTATACTTGTGATAATACTACCAGATGTGAAAAATCAGCGTATCCTGGTGTCTTATTTTATTTTCCGATATCATCAAAAAATTCTTGTCACAAAATAATGTCATACTGAGAAACTTGAACGAATACAATGCAAAAAAGAAAAAAAAGGATGATTTGCTACACCAATGTTAAATTAGTGAGCTGCTAAGAGAAGACTTCGTCGTAATAAATGATGCACACATCATAGTCGAATAGATACTATATACTGAAATGTTTATGACAAAATATTTAGCGAGAACTTAAGAGATAACCACCGACAGCTAGATCGCCGAAGCTAAACTCACGATCATAGATGATAGAAAGGAATTCGGTGATCTTCATTTCGATGAACTTTATATCGACAATCTATATTTCGACGATGTTGATTTCGGCGATCTTGCTTTTCGGTAATGTTCCTTTCGGCGCAAGTTTCGGCGATCTGAGCTTTCGGCGATGAGGTATACAATCTGAAAACAATTGTATCAAAACGAAAAACAAGTCTGAACATATTCCATTTGAATCAATGGCGCACAACAAAAATGATTTGGTTTGAAAACAAAATTTATCCTTAATATTCGTTTTGAAGCGAAAGGAAGAAATAAAGAAAAAATAACTCAGCTTTATATTAAAAGGAAACTCGTATTATAACCCAGGACTGGACGTTTTGTTCAATCAATTTTTTTTATGCGAAGTACTGTAAAGAGTGTTACAGTTTTTTCTTTGAAAGAGATTTGACTTTTCTCGCTATTGTGTGTTACATCAGATTTTCGATGCGATTTTCGAGATGATTGAATCGTTGTTCTAAATTGAAACCAGGTCATATATGTTGAGATCGCGTTTTTCATTTTCATAACCCAGATGGATGAATCCGACAGTGAATCCTAACGAATCTCATGGGATCCGACAAGCCAACAAAATCCGATCGGGTTCCTGGTAGGGGTGTACAACTCACGCGTACGCTCATGAGCGCTCATATGAGCGTGAGCGTTTCTCCTTTTGCTTCCAATATACAATATATAAGTGAAATCCAATCAACTTTAGCTTGTGCTCTGATGGTTTGTGTGATTATTTGTGTGCAGCGACTGTCAAAATGTTTGTAAACCATATTTATTTATCAGGCACATTATCGATGAATTACTATTGAGTTTAACCGATCTCGGTGTTCTTTTAGTATTAAAATTGATAATGGTAAATAATTTAGATGTATTTTATTATTTAGTGATAGAAAAATCCGATTGAGATCAGCGAAAAAGTGTAACATATACATTTAGATGTACTGATATAAGTTAACTAGCTGAAATTATATATAAATTAGGCATCTTTAGTCGAAATTGCATAATATTATTGTTTTAATCAATAAAAGTATCTGTTTATCTTTTTTCTCTTTCATATGCATCAATAATCTGTTTATTTTCATACTTCACGATATAATCCATGAATAATACGCAAAAGAAAAAATGGCAACAAAAATCACTAATGAGGGTATGAGTGTAAATCGTAACTGGATAACATACAACATATAGAATATAACATAAACATCACAATAGCTAACTAAAAATTTGAAAATGTAAAGTACTCATGGCAATTGTGCACGGACTGACATGTTTGCATTTGGAAATAACTATGGTATATGCTGCATACTAAACATTCGAAATTTCAGTTGGATTTACTTTTCTAATTGTTCACAATTGAATATAGATCGTCAAATTACATTACAACAACTTTTCCGAATCAAAAACAGTCACAGTTTCATATTGGAAATTTCTAGAAATTTTTTCTATACTTGAAAGATATTTTCTCCAACCGAACTCAACGATCTAATTTCAACTATGACCGATTAAAACAGTAAATTCTGTTGAAATTTCGAACGATTGATATACATGATATATATTCTAGTTATTTCAAAATCCAATCACATAAGTCCATGCATGTCATGAGAAGATCACATAATATACTTTCTAATTTAATAGTCAGACCTAAAACATGTTATCAACATGTTCCATTTTCTTCAGCTACATAACACACTTACATTGAAGGGAAGCACAAAAAAGAAGAAAAAAACCAAGAAAAAAAAGTGAAAAACGAGAAAAAAAAGTCCTACTGTATCATTGATTTGTTCCGATAAATATGGCAATGAGTAATTTTGAGTACAGACAAAGATCAGCACATATCACCACAAGAAATTTGTCGCAAAGCATCTATTCGGTGGCTCTCTTTCAAGACCATTAGATGACGCAAAGATGTTGATGAAAGGGAGGTTCTTTGCTTACGTGCCACATAGCCAGCAATTGAAAAAATTGATTCACTAGGTACAGATGTGGCAGGAATAATATTTACTCGTTGAGCGACTTTGTAGAGGCGAGAAAAACGTTCGCGATATTGAATCCAAAATGAAGAGAAGTCACCTTTGAACGATTGAATTACTTGAGTAAATAAGATCAGTTCATCTTCAGCTGATAATGATCTAGACGGTTTAACATTTGTTGACATACCAACCACCGTTTTCAGTTTGTCGGTTAATGTTTGGTTGCTTTTTGTTGCAGTTGAACTTGCATAAGTTGAAGAGCCAGCAATTGATTGAGCCTCCTTCTTCATGAAGTTCGGCAGGATTGCTTTTGCTGCTTGTTTATCTTCTCGACTTAAATTTTTATGAGATTCTGGATCGAGATAACTTGCCACCTAAATTGAAATAATTAAATAAGAGTTTATCATAGGGAATTTATTATAATTGTAAAAAACAATTTTTTCGCAATATTTTTCGAAGTTTTTGAAAAAAGATGGATGGAAATGTTTCAAAGGGTGTTAATCATTTTGAATACTTTTCAAGAACTAAATTATAAGTGATGAAACTTCAAAGAATAAACTATAATGCTGAAAAAGTATTTAAATAAATTATGTGAAATAGTATAGGGATATCCATACTGTTTCCAGGAAAAATATACAGGTCAACCCACGTGAAGCTTTTTGTAGAACAGAGCTAAAGCTTTTTCTTAAAAAACTGCTTTCAAAAACTTGGAAAATTAGAAAATATTAAACAACTAAGAATAAAGATTTTTATTATGTCATATCTGTTGTTGTTTTCGTCACATTGAACTAATAGCTTACAGGAGATGCTTTCTCAGAAAGTGTTAGATATTTAAGTAAAACATACCAGCATCAAGTCCTTTTGTGTTTTTGTCATTTTGATATCAAAATATAGCTCAAGTTGAAAAAGAAAACTCTTTTTCAATAAAGCTAAATATCTTGAATCTCCTTCTTTGGGCTTAAGACCAAACCTAAGGATGTTGATGGTTGTATAGGCAAGCGCTAATGTGGCATAATGTTTTCCAGATAAAGAACGAGTTGCAAACTCAAGCGGTTCGAGTACATCCTGAAGGGCTTGCATAAGGTCCCAATTTTCATGATCAATATAAACTTTAGCCAAAGACGATCGTTGTTCCCCATTCATGCTTGAAAATTTGTGAATAAAAACACTTTTCATAATTTCCTGGTGATAAATCAAACGTTTCAACATGTGAAACGTGCTACTCCAACGAGTCTAAATATTCAAAAAGGGTAGATTTGAGTTTTTTTAGTTTAATTTGTTTTAATTCGAATATGTGGATGTAACTTTATTTGAACATATTCACAGTGATTTTCTGAAATTAGGATATAAAGAAAAGTTAAACATACCCGGATATCAATAACGAACCCATTACAAGGACCACGCTCATGATTACGAACATATTGATCGATTGAACTAACATTTCGCATAATTTTTACCATTTTACGTGTTAGAAGGAGTAAACCATGTGTTTTACGAAGAACGTCAAGTAGTTGATTTTTTTCATTGTCAATGGATGCAGGTAAATCAACAGATGAGTCATTAGAATCGTTATCATTACTCATGAACTCGTCTTCGTCCAGTACATTTGTGGGCAAAACTGGTGATGAAATATCATCATTCGATGAAACATTCACGTCGTTGTTTTCATTTGGTTGTCCATTATCACCTAATTCAGCATTACGAGATGCTTGTTCAGCATCGATGATTTCATCATCTACGTCATCATCAATATCAATGAAGTCGTCGTCATCGGTATCAAGTCCTATGTTCTTCTGATATGATTTAAAAGGATACCTACAAGAAAACCATAGTTTATATATTTTTCGAATTATTAAAATTATATTTAAATAATCTTATTAATAGCAGTTCTTAGTTGAAACGATTCTTTCTTTTTCTATAAATCTATTTTAAGTTTTTAACTTCGTTTAGATTGAATCACGATCATATAATTGAAGAAAATTTGAAAAATCCGAAACATTAATGAATTTTCAAATAGATATATGTGATCAAGTCTTTCGTCAGCAACTGTGTATAATACTTGTCTTTCATAATACCTAGACACCAATGAGAAGATACTGTTTTTGATAGAAAATAGTTTTATGCTTGTCCTGTAGAAATTCTTATCTTTAACCGTTCAGTTCATAAAGAACAAATGCGAAACTAACGCAAGATTTCATGTAATATTAGGTTTATTTAAAACAAATAGATATTACTTTCAAACTTACTTTAAACGGAAAAAATTCTATCGTTTTGCTTAAAAAGATGATAATGTACTCAATATTTTTTTTTAAAACACGGCTTTTAACTAATCATTTTCTTCTTTCTGGACAAAGCATTATTAATTGATATCGCTTTGTATTGGTTGCCTGTAACTCAACCTATTGATAATAGTGTGATTAGAACGTAGCCAAGCGATAAAAGTCTTACAAATTCCTAAATGACATATAATTTTTAAATATTCTTTTTAGAAATAATATTAAAATGAATTTTCGTTGAAAGTATTTTAATTGTAATGTTAATTCTCTAGATTGATTTTTTAAAAGCAAGCTGTTGACTTTCTGTTCATTGATACTACTGTTCCTTTTTATTATTCACATATACCATGATATAATTAAGTGCAAATAAATGCCCATGAAGACGAGACGAAAAGAAAAAAAACTGTTAACTATGTAGTCAGTAGTTGTAATATAAACTTCTAAACTAATAAACAAAATTTCATAAAAAAGATTGAGCGATTTTAAAATGCTTCCAGGAGAAAAAAAATAAAAATTAAATAACAATAAAATATACCGTTGCTCTCATTTGACTTTGAATGAAAATAATTAGCTATCTTGTTACGGTGTGTTCTACTGTAACCTATATCTCGATTCTATCTATTCTCTTTTATTTTGTCTTTTCCTTTCTCTCTCCGTTTCCCTCTATTTTCTTGTCTCTGTTTTCGTGTGCGTATATAAACATTTATTTTCTAAAAGAATAAACAGAGAGATAATAAAACACACACGTTTAAAGTGTTCGTCGCTCTTCGTGAGCGCGAACCTTAACATATCTCATGTTCGCTTAGTTCTTCAAAATTTCGCTTTGTAATCTTTTGTTGAATCGCATGTTGAAACTAAGAATATAATGAAGCCTCCTTTATCATCTCCATAAATTATTCTTTTCGATTTATCTTTATATTAGACTCGCTTATTGTATATACAGATCATCTATACTACAATAATATTGATTAAGTAGGAAACAATATGTATCTAATCAGTACCCATGTCGCTCAAACCGCTCTAAAACCGGCGGTTAACCATCTGGTTAACTGGGCGCTTAACCGAACGGTTACCGCCGGTTCTCCAGCTAAATTTTTTTCTGTGTCAAAAAGGGTGAAAACTTTTAAACTCTTACAAAAGTGCCAAAAAATGTCAAAATCGCGACTCTCTTATAATTGTGAACGCGTTGAAGCCGTACGTATTGGCCACATTTATTATAATTACCTAGTTTTCGAGTTTGCCATTAATTAAAGGTGGCGCTATCAAAAATACTTGTTTGTTAATGACTTAACCAATAGGAAAACTAATTGAGGCATATCAGAGAATGCACTGTTGAACAATTATTTCGATATTTACTGAGTTGAAATCCACTATTTATACACTAAAAAGATTAATTTAGAAGAAAAACTATTTAAAAAATGCTAAACGAAGAGAAACCGTAATGAACCGGCGGTTTTCTTCATAACCGGCGGTAACCGACGTTTTTGATGAAAAATGAGCGACAAGGGTATGATCTATTTTTTCCAGAAGTCATACAACTGATGATTTCCTTTATTACTTTTTCTAGTTGTGTCATGCATTTCTTGAGTAAAAAAGCAGATGCATGATGATAATGTAGAAAGACTTAACGATGTTTGTTATTCATTATTCATTCACTATATTTTCTCCTAAACGCGTATCGTAATATTCAATAACTACAAGCAGAAAAAAATCAAACGCGTTGTGTCTAAACATGAGAAACTGTTTTTATTGAAAGTAATTTATTTTCTAGTTTTAGATCTAACGATGATTTCAATATTGAGGGATCTTATTGGGATGTATACATGGACTGTTTTTTTAAAATTTTTGAATGATTCTTTGTCAAATCTTCACGGTGACGAGCTAAAACATATAATATGAATTGTGTTTATTTTGCGAGACAGATCTATTTTATTTTCGTTAATAGTGTGTCACACCCTCAAAGCAATATTTCCAGATTATTGAAAATAATTTGAGTTACACAATCACGTGATATACAATTTAAGAAACTGAATCTAATTTTTAACATACAATTCTAAATATTTGTTTCATTGATATTATAATGTTACTATGCAATTTCTTATCGAATCCATTTACTATCTTAGAGGATTTTTCACATTGACATTGCTTATTTGAAAAAAATAGAGTTGAATCATCATTGACATAACAAAGCTAACTCTTTTTTTGTTTTTCTCGATCAGTTGTAAGTCGAGTGTGTATGAACAAACACTACTGTGAATATGTACATGAATCAGAACAAACTAAAAATAACATCACTTGGAGACAAGATGATAGAACGATAGATACTTGCTGTTTCGGGTAAAAAATCTAGTATGCAACATTTTGTTTTCGAGGACTTGACCACATATCTACTTGAGAAAGCATGCATATTACTGATTTCTAAAATTTTCATCAAAAATATGAATCTCATTATCTATATGAAGTCGAAAAATTCGATCTAGTTCATAGATTTTATGACTGTGAAGTTCATCTTGAATTTTAATTGACTATTCTAGTTCTAGTTCTTTTTTGAACATATTAACATGCCGATTAGAAAGATCTGAAGGAATGAAAGGACAGTCCAACAGCATTGAAGAATTTAAAGTTTTTTATTTCATGACTATTCTACTGTGACGAAGAATTCATACTAATTTATCTACTAATTGAATTTCTTTAAAACAATATTATACAATGACTTACCAATTCTTATTGGGCTTGTTCCAAATACATAGAGCATGATTTATTATAAGATTCAATATATGTCCAATACAAGGAAATCAAGGACCGAAGGCACCTGATTCAGTAGCTGCCTTGAAATAGCTTGCATTGTCTGTTGTAATGCCAGCATGTGAGCAGTCATTCAATCCAAATCGATTAAATTCATAAGCAATAAATTCGTTCAAATTTTTGCTCAACTTTCGATTCGTCAAACGACGAAACGATAAAAGTAGAGATATCGGTTTCATCTCATCATCGAATACATGAGCAGTAAGACATATGTAATGGTCTCTGGTTGGACCTTTCCAGACGTCTGTTGTATAAGCAATTGGCCGATTTTTAGGTAAAAGTTGTTTGAGTTCGTTAATATACATACGATATTGATTTTGAATTCTTTTTTTGCATAGTACGTCTATCTGGAGCTCGGTAACCAGATTCTAATTTTTCAAATAATGCGCCATACCATGGATGAGAAAAATGATTGTATGGTAGTCCACCATAAATAACACAATTCAAAAGTAGACCGTCTATTTCTTGGCGACGTTCTCTATTGATGACAGAACGATTGTTAGGGGCAGTTTTTCGTCGATCAAATGGTGAATTGATTCCAGTATCGATTTGGTACCGAACAACGAGCTGTCGACGTAGATTGAAAGTGGAACTTCCATTTGTTGTTTTTAACTATAACAAAAAATATAAATATTACTAATGGTTTTTTTCCCTCATACGATAACACATGAATGTGTCATTGTTGAAACATAAACCAAAAAAATCAAGCATAAAATTTTTATTCGAGCTGCAACTTGATCAAACAAAAATATTTCTTAATAAGACTCTTATCACAAGAGTCAGATGAGGGTTTAATATTGTCGCTAGTGTTTGGCACATGGATAAAGTCACCCAAACACAATTTTCGTCATTATATTAATTCAAGTACATATCAAATAAATATGAAATCATTGATGATATTAAAAAAACTATATATAGTTACTGTGAACGTCTAGCTCTAGAAGTATATTATATAATTTTCAGGTAATATCACTTAGTTTTTATTGAGAAAAGAAAAACAATTGTCGATTTTTGTTCACACTCTACATGAATACGTAAATAATAGGATGGAATAACGGTACACAACTCTCAGAAAGAAGTTCTAAATTAGTTCGCTATTATTGAAATAGAACCTTAATTTCATAATGATCAAGAATCAATTATTTAGAGGCAAGTTGAATGTCCATTACATCCAAAATTCTACTCAGTTGAGCCCAAGATCCTTGGAGTGTCCTCTTTCGAATGGTGAAACAACCACCTTTAACTGAGCTGTAGTGGCCGAGAAATCAGCAGTCTACGAAAAGGACCTGCATCTGTTGTTGTTAGGGTTCATTTCCCTAATAACAACACTCAGCTAATGTTTGACCCTAGTAATAACACTCAAACAAAATTCAAGCAAATTAATTTTTTTCAAGAAAAAAACATTTTTTTCACATTTCTTGTAAAAGATAAAGGAACGATGTCTGTAGCAATTTTGTAGAGCGTGTCGAACTCTTATACAGACCAAAGGGTCATGAGAACTCAATGTTAGTTTGAGTGAAATAAATTTTCTCAAGCAAGCAGGTCTAAAATCGAAAAAGAAATTTTGTCCCTCATAACAACAGCCAGCTATTTTTGGACCCCAATAACAACACAACTGGGTTTTTACTTTTATCATGATGTCCAGCTATTTTTTGCCCCTAATAACAACACTCAGCTAGTTGAGTTTGTTATCATTCCTATACAACGAATTTAAATAGATATGCTATTTATGCATAAATTCTCTAATATTATTTTCACAATGATGCGTCGTTATTGTACTCAAAAAATAGCTGAGTGTTGTTATTAGGTAAATGAACCCTAACAACAACAGATGCCGGTCCTTTTCGTAGGCCGCTGATTACTCGGTCACTACAGCTCAGTTAAAGGTGGTTGTTTCACCATCCAAAAGAGGACACTCCAAGGATTATGCACATGTAAGAATAATTTCAATCGTATGTAAAATAGATGTACACCGAATCAATCAAGTCATGTGATTTTTTGTGTTGTTATTAGGGTAACTTACTCTACCATCTTCTAAATCTTTTTTCGGTTCTATTCAAGAAGCACAGAACCTCAAAAGGTTCAGACTTTCTGGATGAACTCTTTTTCAGTTCTAGAAAACTTGTCTAGAACTGAAAAACAGGTTTTATGTCTCAGTACTGGGTGGGGGTAGGGACGGGGGCGGGGGCATGCGGATGTGGGTGTGATATTTAATGTATTCGGCAATGTTAGTATCATATAATTATTAAGATTGAAAAATCAATAATGATTTTTTTAACAGTTGATATTTTTGATAGAATCAAATAATGTATTATATATATATATATATATATATCTTTAAGCTCTTGTTATAATTTTCACACTCTCATAGAGAGAACAGAATGTATCCACTGACTAGGCGCGCCAAACAAAACAGTTCAATTTTATAACGCGACAAAGAAACAATGAAACAAAGAAACAACGAAACAGACGAGAGAGAAAAAAAGAAACAACGAAACAGACGAGAGAGAAAAAAAGAAACAACGAAACAGACGAGAGAGAAAAAAAGAAACAAAGACACACGAAACAGACGAGAGAGAAAAAAAGAAACAACGAAACAGACGAGAGAGAAAAAAAGAAACAACGAAACAGACGAGAGAGAAAAAAAGAAACAACGAGACAGACGAGAGAGAAAAAAAGAACATAACGAGAAACTTGTGCGCAATCAGAAACAAGACGTGACGAAACACGGTGCCGTCACAGTGGGTGCGGGCGCGTGCGGCTGAAGAGATGATCAACACTCGCACCGACACCCACACCCAGCCAAGTAATCTCTCTGACAGGAATAAAGTTTTGAATGAACCCGTTTCATGGTTCTTCCGTGATTTCTTTTCGTCTCATTTAGAAGCATTGCGGTTTATTCCCTAGACTGAAAGGATAGAGTCTAGAAACCGTGATTCACCTGTGTCCGTCTGTTTGTCTGTCTGTCAGTAACACTCGCACGAATGACCATTTTTATTGCAGAAAGGGCATTGTTACGGCACAAACCATGGGCGGATGCATGACATGGTCACGTGAAACAGTCCTCTCAGGAGATGGGGCTAGTGGAGGGGGCGAGCGGATCCTCCGACGAAAATTTGAGCTAACCAGCACCAAATTTGTGAACCACGTATTTTTGTGGCTAGGTAAGACTCAAACGCTCCCGCGCCTTTAGGACATTTGAGTCCCATTCGGTCCGTCTTTCGTCTTCAATTTTAATGCTGTTACTTGAAACCTTTAATTTCCGTCTAATTGTTACCTCCTTTACAGGCCTGTTTGAAAATATTATCACCAGCTGCGGGAACAAACAACCGATTTTCTTCTCCTCGACACTGTCAGTCTAGGGTCCAGTGAATCGACTTTCGATGTCGATGAACGTTACTTGTGTTTATTGTGTGTGAGATATGTATAGGTTTTCTCTTTATCATAAGCCACAATTTCAAATATCGCACTATCGCATAAATTATTTTTATTTTAGATCACAGAATTCGTTTCAACTATTACGATACACGATGTGATTTTTTTTATTTTCAATAAAAGGCATCAAAAGATAAAACTTCTCGGATATGACAATTATAACTAATGACAATTTGGTAGTGGTGCACAATGTTAAAACCTCACGATAATAACAAAGTAATCGATAGAGAAAAACATCAATCTCACACTAAACTCAAGTTTATTGATCAATGTGAAGATGATCTCGATATCTTAGCTTTACGTTTCAATCCTGAAAGTATATCAGTGTGAGGTGTGTAGTAAGATGCGCCCAGTTCCGCCAATTCATCGATTTTGGCAATTACAGATTTATGTTGCAGACGCGAACTGAGTCGCGTTGATATATCCTCACCATCGTTCAATGATGGTCGCGATGATCGATGATGGGACGCTCGTCGTATTGTAACAGTGTGCTCTGGTGCTACGGCACTTCTCTTGCAAATATTCGAGAAAAAATTGTCACACCCATCATTGAACGGTTTAGCACCTCCTAGGCTACGAGCGAATGCCATTTGAAGGCCGAATTTGACAAAATCGAGCGGAATAAACCAAATGATATCGTAAACCCAAACAATTGCTAGGAAAATAAATAGGATATAATATATTGATATACATTGAATTGAAACTTCGTTAAAAAATGATGAAAAATCATTTATCTCATTGTTTTTCAAGAAATAGTCTTTCATAAGAAAACCTAATACGGAAATGCTTTTTTAAATGAGATATAGACAACTTTTATCCCTGCCACAAACGTATAATGGAAGGGTTTATATTGTTTCTTAGATATATTACATATGTTCAAGCCAAATTATCAGTTTCGTCGGGAAACAAACAAATTCAATATATAAGCTGTCTATGACGGCCCTGGACATGGTATATTCGATTTTTACGTTATCTAATTTTTTGTTGTAGAGGTATGAGAATAGAAGAGTCATTCGACATATACTATCAGCGGCCTCCGTACAAGTTGTCCAATTGAAATCGTTAGATTTTACTCAATCGAGAATGTGTCGTGCAGGAAAGAGTTTTACGTGTTTTGACACATTGTAAAACAAATATATTGTTCCGTTCTCGAAATATTTAAATTTTTTTCGACACCACCAGTAAAACTTCCCATTTTTTTGCTTACTTTCGTAATAAACAAATCTCATGAACAGTACATCGGTTAGGATTGAAATATTGACTATGACTACATATCAAGCTGTATACTTATCGTAAAAATTGAGCTCAAATCAGTGAAGTCTTGATGAGTTGATCAGTACCGTCTTGTATACGAAAAAGTGGTCATTTTCGGTCTTTTTATGTGTGCATATATTATGAACAATTTATGCTAGACATTTGAAATTGCTTCCATATCGAGATTTCATCAAGTATTTACTCTGAAAAAAAACCCAACTCTGTAGATAGTTCCTATCTTCCAGCAAATCTTTCACAAAATGAAGATTATGGGAATATTGATCTGCGGAGAAATAAGTCTATGGAAGTTGAACTCATCTAGTTTTATGGTACACACTGTTTACTACTAAATTATTTCCTCGTCTGAAGAGATGAAGGTGTGGTTATGTGTAAGTCAGGAACAAGACATCCACACCCAAGGCACTAAGCGGCTATTACAGAAAATGAACACTAAGTATAACTCAGGAGTAGTGAGCTGCATGATCCTTAATTTCACGATCACGATCACGCGTGATCGTGATTGTGATTGAAAATAAAATGCCGTGATTCACGATTGTAATATATGCATTCAAAATCTCAAATATTGCGCTTAAGAATACAGTGTTCACATTTAAATCAGAAAGTATCTGATAGTTCACATTTTCTGTCCACAGAAAAAGCAAAAAAAATACACTAGCTAATTAAATGCTATTTTATAAAAAACAAAACTAGGAAAAATGCGAAGAAACTATATCATTAAATAATCTGCTGATCATCATCTTCAGTTTCAATGTTTACTAAATATTCGTTATCATTTTAAATATTGTTTATGAGGTCGTGTGATTTAATTTTTTTGCTGTGTTGATAGACTATTTGAGATGATACTATTATATTTTCGTTTGACTTCTTGATAAGTATTTGTTACAATACAATTGATACGACATTTTTCCATCAAAACCCTGATATTTTTTAGTAAAAACATCAATTTCTCCAACTCTGATAGATGGGAACATCGAGTGACGAAAAAACATTTTTGTCTCTAAAATATTATGTAACATTCGTGATCATGATCGTGATCCTGAATTTGATCACAGAAAATTCGTGATCGTGATCGTGATCAAAAATATCAATCACGCAGTTCACCACTCAGAAGAGTTACTTTCGATCTGCTAAATAAAAGGTACTATTAAATATTTGACAAAAAATTACTTTCATGTTGAAATTACACAATTTTGAACTTGATCAATTTATAAGGGAGTTTCATGCGTCCATATACTTGTACACAAGTTTGGTTAAGCTGTTGGTATGCACGTTTTATGATTCGAAAAAGTAGAAAAATGTAACGGTTTAGCTCAACAGTTTAAATCTAGTCTCAGGAAACAAAATACATAAATTTACATAAGACAAGCTTGTTAGCGCATTCTCTCAGAGACTAAAATGAGGAATACACGTATAAACTTTAGACTAATTGTAATAATACAGAGTACATAAAGTACGAAATTATTGATTTTGTTTAAACACTTTTCATTACTTGCTGATGTCTGTAATGGGGAGCTGCAAAACTTCGCCCTTAAACTTATACTCGCTATTTTCTTCAAAAGTATACACGAATTCCACAAAACATCACTATGACAATAAATAACTGAAGGCAGTATGAAGTTGTAACTAGTAAAACTTAACATGATACAGTAAGCAACAAAATGAATGTGATGTCTTTATTAGACATGATTTAATTCTCTTCTTTTATTTTATTTTATTTTAATTTATTTTAAATTCAAATTCATTTAATTTATTTATTTAAATTTCAAAATTACAGATTGTGACGTTTCGTATCTCGATAAGATACTTCACCAGACATAGAAATTTAAGACAAATAACATATATGCAAATAAACAAATTTTCTTTTCTTTCAGTATTAGTCATACTATTGAAAGTGATACGGAAAACAAGACGGTAATAGTAATAGCTAGCTAAGGATTGAATCCTTTTCCGTATCACTATCAACGGTATGACTAATACTGAAAGAAAAGAAAATTTGTTTATTTGCATATATGTTATTTGTCTTAAATTTCTATGTCTGATGAAGTATCTTATCGAGATACGAAACGTCACAATCTATAATTTTTAAATTTAAATTAACAAACTATAAAATCAAATCAAATTAAATGAATTTGAATTTAAAATAAATTAAAATAAAATAAAATAAAATAAAATAAAAGAAGAGAATAAAATCATGTCCAATATATCAACCTTCTTAACAAAACAAGAATGTGATGTCTTAAGTGATGAAAAGTATTATGACAAAACAAGTAATAAAAAGTAGCATAACAATCTAAGTTATAACGTATGAAAGATTTGTGATGCAGAAACCTCACTGAAATACTTCTCGTTATATAACATAAAGTAAAAAAAACAATAATGAGCGAGTCTTGTAAAGTAACTGTAAGTTTACTTATAACTAGATAATACTAAAAGGTATTTATGCTAATATAATTGCAGTGTAGTTTAGTTAATTTATAAATTACAATTTTGATGGCATAATACTTTTTAGTACTTTCCGAAGTAATAAAAGCTGTTAGCGCAATCCCTGTGGGATAAAAATGTGAAACACGATAAAAGCTTGTTTTCTGGAATCCGTCGACCACGGTCTGTGATGGTCTGTGGAGCTTCTCTGTCACGGTCTGTATCTGTATTGTGGTGTATGAAGTCTATAGAGACCATCATAGACCGTTGTACAAACTTAAGAAGCCATCACAGACCGTGACAGAGAAGTTTCAGAGATCGTTAAAGAGACTTCAAAAACCATCACAGACCGTGACAGAGAATTCAGACACCATCACAGACCGTGACAGAGCCTTCAAAAACCATCACAGACAGTGACAGAGAAGTTTCACAGACCATCACAGACCGTGACAAAGAGACTTCAGAAACTATCACAGACCGGGACAGAGACCTCAGAAACCATCACAAACCGGGACAGAGAAATTAATTAATTAATCAGCTAACTAATTAATTAATTTCTCTGTCCCTGTCTGTGGGGGGGGGGCGGGGGATGGGTCCCCATTTATAACCAATAAATTTAAGAAAAGAAGAATCCGAAAGTTTGCCAATAAGACTTTCACCAGTAGCTTGTGAAAGTCCGGAGGATATATTGTCGAATGTCCAGGGGGTGTACTGGTGACAGTCCTTTGAACGTTCGCCATTATTGGCAATAGTCTACTCGAACGATTTACTAAGGGTATGCTCGGATATAATATCCTCGCGTAAAATAAATGTAAAGAAAATATGAAAGTCGAAAGGGAAGTAACGGATGAGCAAAGTCAAGTTAATAAAATACGTGGTAAAAATAAAACAATAAAAAGAAAGTAAATAAAAATAGGCTAAAGATGACGACTTAAATACGATCTGATGATAATTTTCATGATGAAAGTGACGTGTCTCAATAAAAAATTTCTTATTTCTTTCTTATTCCTTCAGCAACAAGACGATCAAACTGATAAACACATGATGATTCGGATTATACAGATGGTTTGTCAGCTATTGTTGGATTAGTTAGGTGTGCTTCTGTCAATCTTCTTAGAGTAGACGCATTGATGCAAGTGTTGCGACATGCATTGAGCAATCTACAAAATATCTGAATAAAACATATAAACGGCGCACGAAAATTTATTCTATTATGGATTGAAGACTACAATCTGCTCACCAATTAGCAAGAACGTAGGAGCAATAGAAACAACATTGGCAATGGCTACGTTATATACGAGCATTCTCTACTCAGCTAATGGACAGTGACATAGAATTTCGCTAGGCATACACTAAAACCAAAACTGGTTTTGAAATTTTGGTTTTGAAGTTTTGATTTTGACATCGGTTTGGTTTTGAAGGTTTTGGTTATCATCATATAAGCTTTGGTATTAGTTTTGGTTTTGGTTTCGACTTAAAAATATAATCTTTTCGAATTATCTCAAAACAAAGCTAAGACCTCACAACCAAAACCATATCAAAACCAAAACTATTAAAACCGAAACCATATCAAAACCGAAACTATCAATACCAAAAAGGTTTGGATTTGGTGCATGCCTGAATTTCGCCATACTACCGGATGCCATTGGGAAGCATTTTGGAATGTCCATATGACTGTTACCAATTGTGAACATCATATTGACGGACACGGTGTCGATTGAGTGAAAATTATAACAGCGAGAAAAACATTTCGCTAAAGGATACCTTCACTCAAACGTTTTTCGCTGTTTTTCTTCGCGATTTTGGATTCGCTCAAAACTTTTCGCTGATTTACCACCATACCGTTATCTGTATTGGGGGATATTTGTCCATCATTTTTTATTTTGAAGTACAGAATCTCAACATGCATATGCTTTATATATATATTCCAATTATATTTTAGTATTAGGTGATCTTGGATAACTTGATGAGGAATATCAGTCACGAGCAGTTATGTTCTCCAAAACCTGTCTATGATGGTATGATGCTTCCCCTCCATATCATGTGTTTCATGAGTTTCGATGCTCCCTTCACCTTGATATCTGTCACGGCTTGTGGGGGCGGGGTGCAAATTGATATCGCTCTACACTTCACACTTTAACATGGGGACTGTCTCCAGAAAGTTTTAAATATCTTGAGAACGAAACAACAAATGTGTTGATCGAATTGCGTTAAAATCCTTAAAATTCTTCCCACCACTTTATCTGACGATCTCAACTGACCAACTTGTGTAGAGGCCAGTCGTGGCTTATGTGGAATGACTTTTATAAGATGATGTTTCTCTACCAAAAATGAGTATAACTTAAAAAATGAGTATGGATATCCGGGCACGCTATTGACAGCTTATGTTTTTTTGTTGTTATGTTATCGGTGGAACCGATTATTAGGCATGAACATAAGTAATATTTTGAACAAACAGTGCACTACATTCCATTGCAAGTTATTTAATGATAGAACAAGTATTAAACTCGCACTTTGGTTAACACCAATACTTGAGATTCATTGGAAATCTGATTAAAAATAAAAAGCGTGCACCTGAAAGTAAAACGTTACCTGCTAAACTCCATCCACAACCAATAATGTTGGTAAACCCCCAATCAGCATAGACCGCGATCAATGTACTAGCCGTTTGAGCGACGATAAAAGCAATTATCAGCAACATAGTTGGTCGTTCGGTGAAAAAGAAGCTCTGAGATCTAGTAGTGAAGATTAATGCTTGGCTGATTATGGACACTTGTAAATAGATGATAGAGTGTGAGCGAGAACTTTCGGGAGTATCCCCGCCAGTTGGCTCAATAGGACTAATACCGAATGTGTTTTCCAAGAAATTGGTCTGAGTAGTGATGATAAAAAATACTATAGTTGAGGCAGTCAAATAGATACCGTAAACTATTGCCGATATAAATATGCGCTTCAATCGCCATTTGCTTGGTTCCAGAGATGGCTGCACTCGATCATCGGCTATGGTCATCATGGTTCCATCATTAAAAATTGCTAAAATGAGCAGCATAAATGGAGGAAAATCATATTGGTATATGAAGATCAGCAGCGAAAAAGAAAGAATAATACGAATTGTAATTGAGCAAGTGTATATGGAGTAGCTCGTCATGCGAGCGAAAATTTGGCGAGACCCCAAAATAGCATCAATAATCACAGAAAGACCGGGCTCTATTAAGACGATTGCAGAAGCTGATCGAGCTGCATCGCATGCATCTGCAACGGCAACACCAACATTTGCTTTAGCCAAAGCCGGTGCATCATTAACGCCATCACCTAGCGTTTTGAATAAGAGTGAGGAATTTTATTGAATAGAGCCTACCTGTCATTGCTACCATATGATCCATTTCTTGCAGTCTTTTGACAATATCATACTTGTGCTCGGGAAACACGCTAGCAAACCCGTCAGCCAAAATCACTACATCATTCACATTATATTCTTCACTGTTTGATCCTCGGGCTTCTGCCTGTTTGATTATGTCAGCATAGATGTACATGGTATCACCCATGCCCAAGCGACGTCCTGTTTCTTTGGCAATTTCTAATTGATCACCCGTGATCATTTTTACTTGGATGCCTGAAAGTATTAAAAAAGCTATTAGCGCGATTCCTGCGGGATTGATTTGGGTGAATCCATGGGGCCTCTACCACTTAGTGGAAAAAGAAAATTCTGCGCCAATATTCCCCAAGAAAGTCTTTTTCCCGATTGTCACGGTCTGGTTAGGCGTATCATCGTCGAAAACGGTCTAAGGTAACAAATAAAACCTTTTAAGACAAATACAATGTGAAGAACCACATTATTTTTTAGGAACATCTCACACGTATAAAGGATATCTCATAAAAACTGACAATAAATTGTTCATGTTAGTTTTCATACTTTTTCTTAACACAGAGAGTTGAAAGTTTTGTTGCACATATATTTAATAAAGATTTTTTATCTTTGAAAGCTCCAGCTTTCTAGCTTAAAGCACTGTTGAAATATCAATTTTTGAACTCGATATTTGCAATAATTTTACAATAAAAATATGCGAAAATCAAGTAAGAAAATTTATGTATTTCAGCAGCAGGTTTAGCTAGAGAGCTGAAATTTTCAGAAATAAAAGATCTCTATTAGACATGTATGTTAGAAAAATTTCAACCGTTTATGTCAAGAAAAAGTGAGAAAAATACCATCAACAATTTATTATCAGTTATTATGGGATATCCTTTATATGTGTGAGATGTTCCTAAAAAACAATGTGGTTCTCCATATTTTATATGTCCCAAAAGTTTTTAATTACTACCTTGGACCGTTTTCGACGGTGACACATCTATCTAGACTATTAGAACTAAAAACAAAGACGTTTTTTTCCACAGAAGTGGTAGAAACCCCACGGATTCACCTATCTGTGAAACATGATCTAGATATTATCTTTCTATTTACAGAAAACTGGTCTTTTGCATGTACAATAGGACATGTTTCTTCGTCATCGCTTACTTGGGAGTAGGGGTATAACAGTTCTCAGATCTAAGTTTAGATCAAATGAGCGCAAGATCTATTCGAACAGTTCAGATCAGATCTAAGGAATTGCCTGAACAGTTCTTTTGATAGAAACTAAAACTGAACTGTCAGACCCCTACTTGAGAGTAAAAGATAATTCAATAAAGAAATGGTCCATATATATATTTGAATTAGGCGTTAGTTAAAGTAATATTCCGAAAGCTCATTGAAGCCCTCTGTCGCAGTGTCCGACGGCACTTCCATCCATGGTTGCCACGGTCTGTTGTGTGCGTGTGTGTGGGGGGGGGGGCTTCTAGTTCAGACTGCACATTTAGTTCGGTTTTCCTCCCTATTGCATGTACAAATAGGAGTTTTTTTCTTAAACAAAATGATCCGATTATGTACCCAGTTCAATTGCTTTTCTGATAGTCTCAGCTGTGTCTTCTCGAGGTGGATCGAAGATGGGTAGCAGGCCAATTAATTGGAAATCTCCACCATTCTGCTTTATAGCTACAGCTAAAGAACGAAAGCCACGTTGAGCGAATTTGATGACGTCCGACCTCATTTTGTCTGCTTTTTCAGATGACTCTGATTGCGAACCTAGACATAGCCCAAGAACAACTTCGGGCATTCCTTTTGTTACTTGGTGAACAAGCTGTGTTGATTTATCTTCATAAGTTACTTGGGTTCGCTTATTGGTAGGATCGAAAGGAATGAATGATTTTATATTAATTGTCCGACCAATTGAATCAGCATGGCCAAATGATTCCAAAACACATGTGTCACTATATTAATTAAAAGTTATATCCAAATGCATTACGATATCAATCTGAACTACTTATATGACACTTACATAGCATCAGAATGCTCCTGATTACTAGCATAAGCAGCATATCTCATGACATCGTCCAATGTGACGTCTGCATAAAGCTCGATCGAGTCTTTGTCGATGGTCAGCTTGTTCAAAGTCAATGTTCCAGTTTTGTCAGAACAAAGGATCGTCACTGCTGCAAGTTCTTCGATGGCCGTGATGCGAGTGACGATTGCCTTCTTTTCCGACAACTGTTTAGCTCCAATAGCCATTGTGACGGATAAGACTGTTGGCCTGAAGACAGAAAAATTAATAATCTCTATGACTTTTCATTCATTCACTTACATAGCAATGGGTAGTCCTCCGATAAGTAAAACCAAAATGTTGTCTATTCCTCGTCGATATCGATAATGAAAGACAGCATACATTACCACGATTTCGGCGACAACAAAAACAACAATACCAACCATGCAAAAATTCCCAATTTTAGCCAGAATTTGTTGTAAATGTCCTATTTCATCGCGAGCTGAACCGACAATACTAGCTGCACGACCAAAATACGTATGTGTTCCAGTAGCAATAATAATGGCTTCACATTCACCTTGCTTGCAGGTTGTCGAAGATAGAATTTTATCGCCCGGTTTTTTCGAAACAGGCAATGATTCACCTGTCAGAGCTGCTTGATCCAGCCCTATGCTTCCACCGGGTGATGAGATTATGCGACCATCTGCTGGTATAATATTACCCAATTTAATTGAAACAATATCACCGGGTACAAGTTCACTCGCTGGAGTTGTTGACCAAATCCCACCATTTCGCTTAACCCGGCATTCGGGTGCTAATGAAGCCATCAGTGCTTTCACAGCATTTCCTGCCCGATGTTCCTCAAAATACCCGATGCTGGCGTTTAAGAGAAGCAGTAAAATAATACCAATAAAATCTGGCCAATCAGGAGGTTTATTTTCGCCATTACTTACTGCAATTGCTACTAAAGCAGCTATTTCCATCACCCTACAGAATTCAATTTAGAACTTATATATAGAATAGAGCAGTCATCCTGAGGGTGTGAGTGTGGGTGTGGATCTTTGCTTGTTCTTTCACACAAATCCAAACGCACACCCACGCCCACAACCTTGCCAGAATTAGATGGAATCGGTTACGTGAGCGGAACTGCTTCCGGAATGTTCAACATTTCGGAATGGGATGTATTCTCATACAATAAAAGTTTTCTGCATGATCCGAACTGATTTCAAATATAAAAGCTTGTTAGCGCAGCCCCTTTGGGGCTAAAGTGTGGAACTCACATATATCCCTTCGGCTTACTACAATAATTCAAAATAGTTCATCTGAAAAATCTACCCTGATTTCTCAAACCTATAATTAGGTCATCGCCTATTTGCTTATGTCTGTAATCGAGTATTAATTGTTAGCTCGTATATTTAAAAATGACAGATACTAGTTTCTATGGTCAGTTATGGTACCCTAAGCTAGTTGCTATGGTCTGTAATGGTACCCTAAGCTAGTTGCTATGGTCTGTAATGGGTAAACATTGCTTTTTTCGTGTAGTCTGTAATTAAAAAAAGAAGAAATAGCAGCCTAGTTAGTCAAGCTCCTAATTAGGACAATTTTTAACTCATTAATGTCTGTAATGGGAGAGGGGAGGTGGGTAGCCGCAAAAATCTCGCTTTTAAACTTACACTCACATTTTCTTCGAAAATATATGTGAGTTCCACAAAAGACGATGACACTACCTTATTTATGATGGAAAGGTCTCCTTATATCAATGAGATCATTGGGATATCAACTACTAAAATGTCGCATATTTTCATTCTATAATAAACTACGACGGACATACTGGCAAGTCTATTCTGATCTTGGGTATTTGCTGTGGTGTTTATTCTTCTCGCTTTATAACGAATATGGCATAACCAACAGACATCCCTGTTTTTAAGAAATATCGTACTCTGTGTTGAATTCTTTAAATCGAATTATTTCAAATTTCTCATTCTTCGATTGTTTCAAAAATTCGATGAAGAGTGCTCTTGAAACAAATACTAGAAACCTACAGTTGGCTAACAATGCTATGGTCTGATAAGATTAATGTACAAGGTATTGCATTTCTGTTCTAATGTGTAAAGTAGTCATTTGATCAAGCAAAAAACAAAACTGAATATGCCATCTTTAGCTTACAGAAAGATCTATTAATTCAGCAATTGTTTTGGCGAACAATATATATATATAAACAGAAAAAGCATTCCGCATGTTGGTTTTTATCAGCGTCTCATGTGCCTCCTTTTTTGATGCATCATAATTTACATTTAGTTATTTCAAAGATCAATGCTACATATAGTATAATTAACACCTAATTTGTAACCTTATAAAAAGCTGTTTTTTCTTCTATGAATTTGATTTGAGAGAAGTGTTCTAACGATGTTTAATAATATTCTAGTGTATTCAAAGAGAATATGCATAGATAACTGACAAACACATAACAGTTTTCTTCTCGATTCTGTTAGAAATCATATACGAGGAAACATCGGAAAGTGGGTGCATCGTAGTTTAGGTTCTACTTAATCTGAAGAAGATATGTATGTAGTTTTTTAAAATTATGCTGTTTGAAAGTGAACGGCATATGAAGTATATAGTTTACATCTGAACTTACAGTTTTTTCTCCTCCTTTTGAGAGTTCTTTTCATAGGCTTTGAAAGAGATTTGAGCCGAAAATTCTAAGTGAATTTATAGTAATTAAAGAGAGGTTCACAAAATATTGTGACTTTTATTTTAACAGCTCAGTCATAATTTCAACGATTATAACAAATCGTGTTTCAAAAAAACGAAGAAAATAAGAAATCTTACCAGGAAAGTGGATTCCACATGAAGAGAAGAAAGCGAATGATTGGATGACGTTCTTTAATTTCTATTTTGTTTGGTCCAAACTAAAAGAAAAAATGTATAGCCATGTTCTATTCTTATCAACAGAATTCATTAGAAATATCACAAGAAAAATATTGTCAGCTTTTTATAGGGTCAGTTAAATGGTATCTAGAACATTAAAATACATCATTTATGCGGTTCAGGGTTTGTGTGGGTGTGAGTATGGATGTGGATGGCGTGTTAGACTACAGCACACACCCACACCCACACCCACACCCAACAGCCACGACGAGTCACCTAATCTAACTCACAAACACCATGGTTCTACTTATGTGTTAAAGAAACTTCGTTGAGTGTGCTATATAGCTGCTTTATATAACTGATCTATTACCACCTCACATTTACATGAAGCATCGTGAGTATCCATTCTCACATACTTCTACATGCTCATTAATTCTTACTTTTTGTCCTAGCTCAACTCTTCATCATCTTTTCTACAACAAAAACGTAGTTTTTAATGTTATCTATTATTGATTGTAAGTATTAATTTCTCTATAATTTCTCATTTGGATTCACTTCTATTTTATCTTCTAGATCTCAGTGGAACAACAAAAACATAGTTTTTGATGTTACTTATTATTTTTTATTTTTATGAATCTTTTATTATCGATTATTTATCTCATTGAGATCCTCTCACTAATAAACTATTAGCAAAATTTTGACCATAATCCGGTCGGGTGCCGGTTGGATACCGGATATAGTTGTCCGGGTCCGGTTCGCGTCCGGTCGGTTCCAGGTGTGTGAAAACTCAGTCGGACCGGCTCCGGGTATGAAAAGTTGCACCCGTGCAGGACTCTACTCGGAACCGGTCGTTTTCGTGGCGGAATGTTCGACCTGGGATGCTCCGTGTGTTTTTTCGTTGGGTTCCTGCCGACAGGCTTGGCAACGTGCAGGAACGGTACCGAATAGCCTAGGAAATTGGCTGGTCCCTTCCAGAACTGGCGGCCGGAGTCGCGGCCTGAGAGTGTAAAACATTTTTTCAAATGACCATTATATATAATAATCCCACGTGGAACTCATATGGTCTAGTTTTTTATTGAGCCATTGGTAGCCAGAATGGAAATTAACTGGCTAATTCAAATGGCAGTTGACTACTAAGATCCGTTTTCACTATTTGGAAACAAAATACCTCAATTTCGATAGGGGCCCGATTCTACTGCTTACTTACATTCCATTACTTTCAGTTCCACCTTGAAGTCATCGTATTAAGAATCGAAATACAAATGCTTCAGTGAATAGCATGCACAACAGAGATGCCAACAGGCCAATTTTTTCCGCCCTGACCTGGTGTGTTTGTGCCTGGCCTGTCCTGCAGGCATACTTCAAAACCAAAAACGTTATGTGTATTTTTATAACATATTGATTAGGTTCAATTTTTAGTCTTGATGCTGAGGATTAATGTGATTATTTATTTCTTTTCTTAGTAGTAATAATATTAAAAAGTTGTTTTATATATTAGAAAAGAAAAACTCTCTGAATTAACACCACTAGTATTTCACATAAGAAACAACCACTATTAGACAATTTATAAATATGAACTGTTATTAAGTAATAAAAGATTAAAATGTATTTACTACTTTGTCTTCGTCTTTGATTGAGCCTTTTTATTGCACCTTCAGTGATAATCGTGGGAGTAAATTCAATCCAATCATTATTCGATTTCTTTTTTTCTGAATTTGCAAATGAACTATGACGATACCTACCCGTGTAGACGCTAATGTAAAACAATGGACATTATTTTCTATTATTTTCACAAATAATGTGCATTATATAATTATAATGCAGCCTATTTCATGGATTATCTTTCAAATAATGGGAAACCTTTCCAATAATCAATTATTTTTAAATGAATTATTTGAAAATTTCCCATTATTTCCCTGAAATGCACTATAATGCATAAAAATTTAAAAATATAATGGAATCTAACGCATTGAAAGCGTGAAAAATTTTGCCATTATTTGGAAGATAATGCATGAAACAGGCTGCATTATAATTATATTATGCACATTATTTGTGAAAATAGGGTCCATTATTTTACATTATCGGCTACATGGGTAATACAAAATTCAGCAGATAAAATCATTCTCAGTCAATTTTGAGTAAACTAGACAGGTTAGCCTGGCCTGGCCTTGTAGGCGACCAGGCCAGACTGGCATCTCTGATGCACAATGTTCAACAGAAATTCTCTGAAGATTTCTGTAATGGTTATTCCTGAATTCATATTCTTGTCGAAGGCAGCTATCTCTTCAAACTATCCTACAAGAGGTCATCAAAAACGCGCCTTCTCAATAGTTGAATCACTGGCATCCTCGAAGTAACTTAGCAAAAACGAAAAAACGTTATATTAAAGGGATACATTGGGTGTCCCAACTGAAATGTCTCTCTATATATTTTCCTAGTGTCTCGGTCAAAGATCATCGTATATCTGAAGGAAAACACCCCCAAAAAAAATAGCATCACACGGAACCAGAAAGGTTTCGTACTCAGTGCGAAACTCAAAAAGGGTTTCGAATTTTCTCATGGCACTTTAAAATGGTTTCGCAGATACTACGAAAATTAAAAAGGGTTTCGTAGGTCTTCAAGAAAACTTTCGAAAAAGTTTCCTGGACTCTTGGTAATCATTTTGAGAGTATCTTGCGGTTTCAAGTAACCTTTAGCAGGTTTCGAATTCGTTTCAAAAATGACTCCGTGTGGGGCTATTTTTTTGGTCATGTGGGAATCTCCTGGATGAGTATCGAGAGAATCTTAAGAAATGATCTAGGATACCATCCGTATAAAAAAAAATACTGAACCATTTCTCACTGATGCTCATCAGTCTGAGAGAAGAAAGTTCGCAAATAGGTTGCGAGCGAATTTCCGGAAAGAGCAAACCATGAAAATTCTTTTGTCGGACGAGAAATTCTTTGGCATCGACGGTATCTTCAACGTTTAAAACGATCAAATCTGAGTGCCCAATCGTACAGAAGCTGACAAAAAAAGTTGGAATTATAGGAAAAAGAAAGTTTCCTTAAAAGGTTATGGTTTGGCTGGGCGCATGCTCCAAGGGTATTACTCCTTCAATCATTTTTGAAAATGGAACCTTGGATCATGCCCGATGCATTGGAGAAGTTCTTTCTGTAGCCCTTAAATATGGCAATAATACATTCGGCAATGATTGGACATTTCAACAAGATGGGGCTAGGCCGCATATTCATTATTTAACTCAGGAATTGTTTCGAAAGAATTTTCCATCATTTCTGAATAAAGACCGTTGACCTGCAAATAGTTCGGATTTGAATCCACTCGACTACTGTATCTGGAATGAACTAGTGGGAGGAATGAATTGGAATCAAGTTAGATCAAAACAAACATTTATTGAATAACTAAAACGTGGTTGGAGAAAAGTTCGACCCGACGTAGTTTTTGAAAGTTGCAATTCATGGACTGCTCGTTTGTTAAAGGTTTCAAAAATAATGGAAAAAATTTGAACAAATAAAACAAGTTGATTTTTGTAGAGAATTGAATTCTACTTATTTTAAAATTAGGTGGCTACGACTATCTTATATCAATCTATTAAGAAAATACTTAGAGGGATATTTCTGTTGGGACACCCGATATATATGACAGAACAGTTGCTGGATTGCAATCTGATTGATTAAAAGGACAATCCTTATGGAATTTCGGAATTTTGCCAATACGACTTTCGCTAGTATCTGGGGGAAGAAGGGGGAAGAGTAGATATAATAACCAATCTTCAGTAGACTTTTGACAGTTGGCGAAAGTTCAGTTGACAAAATTCATATTGGTAAAACTCTTCCTACTCATTCTTATCAATTTTGGGTGGTCGTTTGTGTATGTATGTTAAGAGAAAAACACTCAAATTCAAACCCATACCCCAAAGTTGCAAAATGGTAATGTTAACGATCGGTTCAGTTCTTTTTTCTTTCGTTCTAGAATTCGTTATCGGACGGTAGGCACAGTGTTTTTCTAGACCGGGTCGGTCTAGATCTCTTCCGATATTTTGCATCTTTTTTCCAAAACAAACGTAATGCAAAAGTATATTTTTGCATATCAACCCTGTCTTATGGCGACAGTGTCTATTTCTACCCAGTAAGAGGAATTAGAATGTTTCGATTGATGTAGTATTCATGAAAACGCCCTAATATACTGTACCGAATTACTTCCATGTTAAGTTATAATACAAAAACACAGTGAAATCACTATTTGTCATTGTCAATTGTGATATAAATGGTTTCAATTTTTATGATCTCTACAATATATTACCTCGAGTCAAAAGAGATGGTGAAGCAGACCAATAGAGACATGCTGAGCAGATGCATAGTCGATTTATAATTTCTATTTCTAATGAATAGTTCATTAATATAAAAAACTAGTGCAGAATCCATAGCCGTCTCCAATATTAAATCCATGAAGAGTGGTCAAATGAGAAATAATTCGTAGAAGCAAATAATGAAGAATATGCCTTTTAATACAATCCTTATAGAACTAAAATATTAAACACGGTAGTGTTCCTATGACTATGTTGGGAACATATGAGAAAAACTTCGTGATTTAAATGACAAATCATTACAAGACCAAAGCGTACTATGTTTGAATACTAGTTAAACTCCTTGAGACATGAGAATCTGTGCCACCGATTAAAACATCAACGGCAGCTTCGTGGCGGTTTTTAGAATCAAGTCGAGAGGATAAAAGCTATTCCCTCGTGTACGTCAACCATGAAGTGAATAACTGAGGCCTACGTTGTGAAATCCCCTGAAATTCTAAATATTTGCAAAGCCTCTTGAAGTTGATTGTTTCTACCTTGATTTCAACGTTCATTGAAAACTATACTTTACAAAAGCACTTCAACAATGAGACTTGGCTGGTTGTGGGAGTGCGTATGAGTAAGGAACGAATTCACACACCCACACCCAATTACCTATTCGGAAAAGTTTCAGGAAATGTATAGAACTTTTTTTTCAATACCAAAATATATAAAAATTGGATCAAAATATCGTATTCAAAACTTTTTCGAAATTTTATACTGGTTAAGGACATGAAATGGTTTAGAACTTTCCAAAGGCATAACCGAATGAAAATAAATCAGTCCTTCATGAAAAGTTTGGGATATATTCGGTGTTACTTCCTCTACAAATGGATTGAAGAAGATGAACATATCAAGGGCGAAGAAAAGAGGAATTCTTCTTAAGCTTCATAAGTAATGAAGTTACTCGAATTTATTTCGTCAAGGAATGTTTTGGACACAATGTGTATTCAAGAAAAAGCTTGAACAGAAATACCACTGTACTGATTAGACATTATAAACCGCAAATTAATGATCAAACTCACCTTTTCCCGACGTTCATTGATCTCATCATCATTGAGACCTAGTGGCGAGCAACTTAAGAAAATGATATTCGAATCAAATTATAGTTTTGTTCTTTCCTTCATTTCACTTACTCGAGTATTCTGTAGACGTCTTTGAGATCACATTCAGTTAAATCACATTTGTTCTTATCGAATAAAACAGCAAGATCAATGTTTCTCCAGTTTCCATCTGGCAGTGATGATGTTGGAATGTCGACTTTGATATGACCACTTTTTTCAGAATCGTTGTTGGACATATTTGTATCGGATACCAGAGCAATAATAGTTTTGAGTATCAAAGCAAGTTTAATTGTTTCGAATCAATCTTTATATATGAAATGATTTGGGTTTCGCGCTGTGTGGACTGCGTTATATAAATATACAGAAATATGTATTGAATACTATTTGTTTTCGTCATGACAAGAAACGAAACATTGACGAGAAAGTAATTCTGACAGTATGTCATTTCTCAGTCCCGCACTTCCTTTTTTCACTGATGGCATCACATATATTTGTTTGAACTGCATAAAAATATTTTTGTTTACTTACGCACATCGAATGCGTACTTATAAAACCTTGAAAAAAGTTAATTATGATCTGAAAACGCATTGAAAAATATAAAAATGAAACAACATTTCTTTTTGTATGCTTCGAATTGATTGTTCCGGGGGACCACCCGCTTGACTAGAGGTTGTGGGTGTGGGTGTGGGTGTGGGTGTGGGTGTGGGTGTGGGTGTGGGTGTGGATTTGTTTGAAAGTACACCCACACCCTCGTACTGAACCAGTCACTGATCTCTATTAAAAATTTGAAATTAATGCACACTTTATAAGACTGAAGAGATAGAAATTAGAAATTCGTCAAAAGATATTAAAAAAACTTTTTATTATGTCTATACTTAACTTGACTTGGCTTGCCCAGCTTTGAATAGGATGCAAATACCGTCGTCTGGAAAAGATAAAAAGACAATAGAACCTGGCTGCTCCTGTACTCTTTAGCGCCGGCCCCAACAGGCGTGGAGCGTATGGGAGATATTATTATTATTATTATTACTAATTAGAAAGACTGGTATTTCACGAATGCATAGATTTTATTTATCTGTATCATAATCATAAATTTTATTTATATTTTAATATTTTATTAAACTAATTAATATAAAATGACTGTAAATTAATGAGTTTGATATACATGTATAACATCTTAAATACATAATAAGATGAATTTTCTAGTACGAAATTCGACTATCGTTTCTTATGAGTTAGAATACTTCAGACAATTATTGCGTAATAAAGACCTGTCACAACAGTACAACAGCACTTAACAGTAAACAAATTGAATAGTTAACACGTGTTTTTCACTCGAAAACATCCTTAATTGACGCACACTGTAAAAAAATAGGTGTTCTACCGAACTTTGAAGGTTCGGCACTATTTTACGAAACGATTTTAAGTTCCGTGGCATGAAAATAGTTTTGGAACTCTCATACAGAACCTTTTTAAGTTCCGATAGTTTGAAAGAGTTTTGAAGTTTTACTACGAAACTATCTAGAAGTTCTGTTGAGCGTGAACCGAACTTTTGATAGTTTCGTATTTATCATACAAAACCGTTGGGAGTTCTGAAAAGCATTTAAAAGTTCCGCATAAGTTCTTCGAAACCATTTTCGGTTGCGTAAGTCCACTAAAGGTTCCTGACACATTTTACGAAACTATTTTCGGTTCCGTCAAAGAAATACTGAACCTTTGTGTCATTTATGGAGCAGTGAATAGGTCCGTACAATCTAAGCTGAACTGTTTTATGTTTTACGAAACGAATGAGAGTTTTGTTTAACAAGGAAAGGTTCCGTGTATCTTATACGAATCTATGGAAAGTTTCGCGAAGCATTCAAAGGTTCAGCATACATTACACGAAACCATTTACACTGTCGTAAATGATATAATAGTTCCGTATATCTTTTGCAAAACCATGGCTAGTTTCGTAGAATATGTTCGGAACGATTAGACCCTCTAAACAACTGCGAATGGTTTCGTAGAGCCTATCCGGAACTTTTAGATACGCTATGAAACTGATAAGAGTTTCGTAGTATGTTTGCGGAACCTTCAGATAACTCGACGAAACCGTTAACGGTTCTGCAAAAGATATACAAACCAATTTATGCCTTTCGAAGTAATTAGTAGTTTCGTAGACTGGATCCGACAGCTTTGCAACCATTATAGAGGCATGCATGGTTTCGGGAAGATATGCCGAACGATTATAGAGTACGTGAAACTACCAATGGTTTCGTCACAGATATACGAAACCATGTAATAGTTCGTGAAACCATCAATACATTCGTACAAAGTGTACGGAACAATTTAGCGTTCTAGCCAAGATAGTGAATCTTTTAAAGTTTTACTCGCTCATTAATAAGCCATCGAGGGTTCAAGCTACTTTACAAAACCATTTCAGATCCTCAACAGTTCCAAATATTTGAAACGGTTCCGTCCTGCAACATTCTTTTTAATGCTGAACAATTTTTCCAAAGATGGTTCTGGCTTGAAGCAAGACTCTACATTTTCGGAACGTGATTTGAGTCACACCATTTACAAATTGGTTATCGACGTCGAAAAATCCGAATCCGTCATCACTTTTTCCGATCTGAATTCCCATTGGTCAGATAATAGGTCCATCCGAAATTTGACTGTCACAAAGTTAGACTTTTTATTTCAACTCCGATCGGAATTCTGATCGAAGTTTAGAGTAGGTTATTGAGGTCGAGGATTCCGAATACGCCATCAATTTATCGATTCGAGCTCCCGTTGGTCAGATATTAGGTCCATCCAAAAATCCGGGACTGTCAAATTAGACTTTTTATTTCAACTCCGATCTGAAATCAGATCAAAGTTTAGAATAGGTTATCGATGTCAAGGAATCGGAATACGTCATCATTTTATCGATTAGAGCTCCCATTGGCCAGATATTAGGTGCATTGAAAATTCAACGGCAACAAAGTTAGACTTTTTATTTCAACTCCGTTCAGAATTCTGATTGAAGTTTGGAATAGGTTATCGATGTCAAGGAATCGGAATCCGTCATCATTTTTTCGATATGAGTTTCCATTGGTCAGATAATAGGTCCATTCGAAATTTAACTGTCACAAAGTTAGACTGTTTATTTCAACTCCGATTTGAATACTGATCGCAATTCGGAATAGGTTATCGAGGTCTAAGAATCGGGATCCGTCATCATTTCTTCGATGCCATGGATGCGATACTTAAATGGTAGAGCTGGGTATTTGTGTCTCCAAAATCGATTGAATAGTTAGTGATATCTTATCAAGTGTAATTGTTATTTTAACTTCTTCGATACGTTCCATGTATGAATGGACAAGTAATGTCAATCTGATAAAATGAATTCAATAGTTTCTTTAGTTAGGTATGTATGAATAATCAATTGAAATGGAATTTTAATGTGATTTAATGAATTGGTGTTTTTTTTAAATATATTTGAGGTATATGGAAATAATTCATTTAATGGTAAGTTGAATCTTACAATATAAATTGCTGTTCGTTTTTATGTTGTTTAGGATGGTCTCAAAAACAACTAACGGTGATGACACTTTCGTCTGAATGGTGGAGAAAGTGCTAGCTCGTATTCTACTCACAACAACTATAGGTAAATATAACACATAGAAATAATGTTTAGCAGCTATTCTATTCGTTTAATGCTTATTTTTAGCCGACGTGGATAAATATTCAATGGATGCTTAAATGTAAGTTTTCTGCTTTAAATATAATCTTCTTTCCGTTCTAGATCGATGGCGTTTTTCGATTTTGTAGTAAGTCTATTTTGTTTAACAAATGATTCTTTTCGTTTTTCAGACTTGGGCGAGATGCTAATTGTCATGTTAGTTTATTGGTCAAAATAACTGGTTATTTGTTTCCTGTGGACGAGTTCGCAATCTTGATATGGAAGTAAGTTCATGCTTTTTTGTCGGGTTTTTGTTTTTTTGAGGAAGACTTATTCACGGGTTTGAGGTAAACAATATTTTCTCTTTCTTGTCTAAAGAGGGACCCCTGGGAAGTGATGCATGGTTTTCGAGTT